ATATATATTTATATATATATATATGGCATCTATTTTGATTCCAGTTTGTCCATGTCAGGTTGAGGTAAATCATCTGACCAGCTGCGTGCATTTAGAAAATTTAAAAAATCACTAAAATACGTCATCTAATCAATACTAAGTATACCACTTTATTAGATACTAGATTAGTTTTATCAAAACTCGATTATTGTAACTCCTTGTTACCAGGAATATCCCTGGAGAAAGTGAAAAGACTTCAAACTGTCCAAAATAATGTTGCACGTTTATTTTTACTGAAAAGAAAGCGAGACTCTGCAACGCCTCTTTTTATCATAGTTTGGGTCATTTGGATCATCGTCATTATTCTGAAACATGTCACTTTCTGAAGAACCATCATGATCTGAGTGATGTACCTTTTTATGCCTTTTTTCCTTTTCCCATTATTAAGTCTTCTCACAATATCATTGATACTGTAGTGTGGAATTCTTGATGTACAGAAACTGTAATTCGTACAGACAAAAACAAGAGTCAGCTAAAGATTTTTCTATTTCAGACCTCGTTTCAGCTTCAAATTCTGAACTCGACTCAGTCTGAATTAGGCTATTGAAAAACTTAACATCTTCATATTTATACATTATTTTACGATTGTTTATCTTAAGTGACCTCAACGTGCATATAAATGTCGATAAAAATATTCTTGACGGGTCATAATCAACTTTGAAGAAAAGATTCAGAGAAAGATACGGCCAAGATAAGCACTACATAATATTTTAAGGCCGGGACGCAGAAATAGGAGGGGATCAACTCCATTATACACAAACAAGGGATCCCACGTCCGCCGTGTTAGTTGGTGTCTTCAGAGCGAATTAGACAAGAGTCAAGTTCTTTGCTTGAAGTTAACAACCTTTCATATCTGGAATTGAGTGACAAAAATCGAGCTGTTTCTGGCATATTTGAGGGTTCTTTTTCGTGACCTGAAAATCTTATTCGATTTGCAGTCAAGGATCATGATGACACCAATATCTCACTATTTTTAAAAAAAGGGCACTTAGCCACCATTTAATTTTAACCCCTTCATTTGTACGCTCCGCTATTTTCTTTATACATGATCGTGTGTTGGGCTGTACCGTCAACTAATTGGCGCTACTTTGTTTATTCATACATAGACCTTCGAAAACGTGGCGCGGTGACATATGAAACGTTTTTTTCCCTATGAAGGCATAGTACGTAAAGTAACTCAGTCAAGAGCAAGAGCTAAGTCAATCGTATGCTTCTCATATTTTGCGCAAAAAGTAGAATCCATTGTTCTTACCCAGGAGCAGTGATCTGAATCCCAACGCATTTACCTTATTTAATCGCGTCCACACATTTACTCCTCGATCTAAACGCGTTGGGGTTTCCTTGAAGTTCACTTGAAAGAGTATCGAACTCAATTTGAAAGTTGAAGCATGTTCGAATACACTTTTGAATGTCACACAGACAGCACTGCATTCGACGTGCCGATTTCAAGATCCAGATGGATACATGTAGGGCCTACGTGGGCTGCAAGTCCGCTTGGTGTTTAATGCATTCGTCGTGAGGTACGAGCAATGACCAGCATGAAGCTCCTGAAGTTACGTTGTCCGTTTCTTGTCAGGCAGGAGAAAGAACGCACAGGGCAAATACGATCTGTTGCTCCACACATGCAGAGTATAGATCTGGGTGAAGTGCTTCGGACAGAATTTGAATGTACCGTGAACAAAAACATATACAACCTAGCACAGTTGTTGTAAGAGGCAAGGCGTAGATACAAGTACACCGTCATAGCTCATGTCCCTGCATATATCAGTGTTATATTCTTGCAGTGCATTCATAGTCTTCTCTCTTGTTGCTGGAAATTTGGGCGATTCTTTAGTCGTCGATGATGTACGAGAGTACATGTAAGACGTTCGTCAAACAAACGACAGGCACTTGTATTCAAGCTTGGTATCCTAACAACTTCTTCGCAGATTTTTTTGGGAGGTCTTTCAGTCGGTTGTTCGTCCGCTTTTCTCTTGATAGCATTTAGGGCCTTCAGAATCTGAATGTCGTGCTCCGTCATAGTGCCATCATGGCTGAGCTCGTTAGATTTTCATAAGACTCTTGTAAAATCGCTTTTCCTGAATACTCTTGCCTCACAGACTCTGCAACTACACCTCCAGGAGGTCGTTGTATTGTGTGCAGGCGTGCGTAGAAGCCTTGATCACGAAAATCCCCAAAACAACCCCCACCCCCAAAAGAAAACCCCCCAAAAACCCCAAAAAACAAAACAAAACAATAACAACAACCCCAAAACTGTACCTATTTTTGAACCACATGCAATCAGGATAACAACTCAGCTAGTTGTTGAGAGAGGTTATTTGCACATTAAAATTGTATGTTCTGTGTTAACTCACGTATTGTTGGTGTATTCGATACCAGGCCTACACTCACCCATTGTTCTTCCATTGTCTGCTTCAACAATGAATGCCGCCAAAACACATTGAGATCAAGTAACCTACTACAAACAAGTTTGACGATGTGGTGAAATCGAGTGTACCTCCCTGGAGACAGATGAAGTCAATCCTAGTGGGAGAACACGTACGAACTTGACTTTCGCTTGAAAATGTTTGGCTTAAAAAAAAAAAGTTTGTTTCATTTGCTCGAGTAATAGAGAAGGGCGTATTCAGTTACGTGCTGTATAGTAAACAAAAAGATACAGAAATCGAGATAAAAGTCCTTCTAAAATAAGGCTTTCGAGCTTGAGAAAAAGGTAAAAAAAAGTAGGAAAGGAAGAAACGAGAGATATAAAAAAAGACCTTCAGTAGAATAGAAAGCGGAAGCGGTCTGAAAACGTTACTGAATGGCTTGCGGTTATATTGTACGCCTCATTGGTTTTCTGTCCCCGTATGGATTAGCCTTGTCTTAATGAAATGCAAAACATAACAAGGGGGGGGGGATCTTTCTTTTACCTGCAATAGTTTTTTGCAGCAGTTGCAGAACCATCTGGAAACATGAGTGTCCCGGAGGTAGAGACCTGGTCCCACATTAAACAATCTTCTGGACCAGTCTTATTGAGATGCCCTTTGTAATCTTCTCCTGAGGGCGTCCGGATACATTCCAGAGCTGAAAGGAAAAATAAAGAAGGGTGGGGGGGGGGGGGGGTATTGAATTGATAGCACAATTAAATCAGCTGCCGAAGGTAAAAAAAAGACCCATTCAAGTAACAGTAACTCGGTCATCTTTAAAACCGATTTCAACAAAAATTGGAACAAACAGAATTCAGCCAAGGAGATGTCAAATTCGTCAATACGAAGAAATTCAACTATCAAATTCGAAGAATATTAAGTTACAAAATGTATACCAAAATTTGCACTTCTGGAAAATGATCCATACCGTGTATTTGCTCATTGAAATACAAATTTATATAGCACTGACACATTATACACTTAGGAAAGGTTATTTACATTGCTAACGATTACTCTCCTGCCGAGCCCGAAAACGCCACATAAAATTTTGAATGACCCTCTGGTATGTTTGTGGGTCGATTCTTTACGCTTGCCATTTAACATTGAACTTCAACTGTTCCATTGTTTGTGGATTGTTTTCTTTAACTCCCTCTGTAAAAAAAAAAAACACCCAAAGGAAATAATCGAAGGGGTTCAAGACGGGGTAAGTCAATGACCAGTCATTTGTAAGCTTTTGGGTGACAAGGCATTCCTCAATCCTTTTTTGCAACCAATGTTGAAATAAAACATAAGATTGTACAAAAGAAAGATAAAAACTGTATACTTATATGTCAAATTAGCAAGTAATAACTAGCAAAATAATAATTGATTAAAAAAAAAACCAACTGATGTTGAGAACTGTACAACACTCATGTCCCAAAATTTGAAAGTGAGTGAGTGAGTGAGTGAGTGAGTGAGTGAGTGAGAGAGACAGAGAGAGAGAGAGAGAGAGAGAGTGTGTGTGTGTGTGTGTGTGTGTGTGTGTGTGTGTGTGTGTGTGTGTGTGTGTGTGTATGCACGTACGTTTTGTATTTGTGCGTTACACACCTTCCACGAAAGGTTCACCAAAGACTTTGACCTCACATAGGCTCGTAGTGGCCACAGTTTCTATGGTGACAGTGACTTGGTGCGTGAGAGGGTATTTGTTACACTGGATAAAGAAGGTGTGATTGTCTTTTTTCTCATTGTGAGAGCAAAACTTCTGAGGTTGCCCGGCTTGGTCTAGGTAGGACACGATGAATGTAGGCAGCTCACCCGGTGGCGCTGGAAAAAAAAGATTGAATTATTGTAAATTATAAGAAAAGTTTTTTTCCCCACCGAGCGAACTTAAACATATCATGGAGTGGGCCGTCTCTAAGTTCCCTATTTGGGGATCGAACTCATGTCTACTGCATGCAGATACAAGGAGCCTAACTATTATACAATAGGCACCGTAGTAAGTAAAAACGCCAAAATCAACGATAGCTGTTGTCTGCTGTCGAGAAAACCTCGTCCACATTATTAGACGTTTTATTTGCATAGCTTTCATTTGGGTCTTGCAAGCGCGACTGTTTTCAATAATGGTGTTTACTTTAACTGGAAAGACAACACACATTCTTTTAATTCTTTAAAAAAAACAAGCTCGCAAACAATATTCTAGTTTACCGAAAGCGTTGCTACCTACGATCCAAAAAAATATTGCTTAGGTCAAAAGAAGAATGAGAGAGAGAGAAAGAGAGAGAGAGAGATAGAGAGAGAAAGAGAGAGAGAGAAGAGAAAGAGAGAGAGTGAGAGAAAGGGAGAGAGAGAGAGATAGAGAGAGAGAAAGAGAGAGAGAGTGTGTATGTGTGTGTGTGTGTGTATGTGTGTATGTGTGTGTTAATGTGTATGACAGAGAAAGAGAGAGAGAGAGAGAGAGAGAGA